TGCACGACCGGAACGTGATGAAGCTGGGGGAGAAGCAGGAGACAGAAGTAGCGTTAATCTGGGGAGAACATCGCAGCAGAGCTGACACACCGAAGGACTTTCTTTAGGTATGGAGGACACAGGCTGCTGTGTTCCGACCCAGTCCCAATTTCTCCGACTGTTTATCAAAACTCAGTAACAAAATTAATTATTTGACTGTATCACAACTTTTAACAAATTCCAAATTAAGCACAAAATCTTGAACTTTGTGAAATTACTGTATGGTCGCCATGTTGTCGCAAACCCCTGATCTCTCAGAGTGAGAGTTTGCAAGAATTGTGACGTAAAATCTGCCCTTCCTGCTCACTAGTCACTGGAATGACTAACGTAATGAGATGTATGAGCAAATAAGTACAGGTTGTGCAGCAGACATTTCACTGCAGAAATGGTCCAACATCAAGTAAGTGGTTACTGTTGGCAAAACTGTTGAGAGCAATATTTCTATCGGATTAAAAACAGATGTATTCATGAGCCTGCTTGTTTACAATGTAATGGGGCCGATTCACCTCGCCACAGGTTTTGTTACCTTGTTCTGAGATATCACAGCATATGGCACTACTCATACCTGGAAATTTCGTCTATATTGTGATGTAGGTTGGAGGTTTAACACGTTACCGTGTCCATTTTACTTTCACTGTGGTTTGAAAAGTATTCATCACTGCTGATTCTGTTTAGCCCCAAAATATAAGAATAGTGATGCAGTTCCCTTTTAATCACTCATCTTCCCCTTAAAGAGTGATCCTCCGGAGCTGCTATATTCAGTCAGGAGTGGGAAATTAAGGACTAGAACTGGGGACTGTGCTAGAAGTGTTCTAGCACAGAATGGGATGGAACACTACAGAATGGCTCAGAATGGAACAGTGGCTCAATTATATTCAGCCACACGGCAAGTCAATTGCGAACAGAGTCCTGACCTGGAGGCCCACACCTACAGCAGCTCTTTTACCGTACTGGAGGGAACCGAGCGAATGAGTCCACCACGACGGCGTCCCACCCCCCAGTTCCATCTGGATTCAGACCCACGACCCTCCGGGAGGAAGGCCAGGGCCCTCAGCACTCCTCCATGCTGCCACCTTCAGGCGGCACTGAACTGGCGCAGAACAGAGGCGTCAGCAGAAACCCACCCTTCAGAAAACCATTGTCTTGGGTGGGGAAAAAATATCACACACACAGGACAGCTACGGCACTTTTTTTTTCCTGTTCTGGCTCTGCTGCATGAGGAAAATAAGAAAGGGCATTCCTAAATGGATTGACGGAGATACCGCTCCAGATGCCTACAGATCTAAACCGGCCTTAGAAAGGGATGAACTAGAGGGAAGGACTTGCTATGTACCGTTCGGTATGTTCAACGTGTTAAGAGTTAAATTCAAATGTTCCCTCCATCTCAAACGTTTTTCTAAAAACAGGGGACCCTGGGCCACACCATATAAATAGCTTTTTGAGGATTTTAATTTTTTACCCCTCCACTTTTGGAAACGTAATAAAAAGCCGAGAACAATGTTCCCTGAGCACTTTCCATTGTTACCGCGTGACAGGTAGGTAGAGAGGAAACAAATTACCTTCTAATCATAGCTTGTTCTCTTAGGAAGACTGACTCATCAGTAATGATGGCAGTTTTTTTTTAAAAAACAGCATCAATGAATAGATCTGCTTTGTCCATCATAGTTCCCAGGTCCTCCCTCACACAAAGATGTTTTTAAAGGGGAACTGCAGCACTATTTTTATATTTCTGGATTAGGAAAAAATAGCACTGACGAATGCATTTCAATACAAGTAAAATGTGCACAGTAACTTATAAAACCTCCAATTTACATCACAAAATAGTTGGAACAGGTGTACGTGCAACGCCATGTTCTGTGATTCAGAACGAGGCAACAAAACATCCGGTGAGGTGAAAAGGCCCTACAATATTATAAACAAGCAGGCCTGGGATCACATTTTAATCCAATAGAAATATTGCTCTCGACATCGAGATGGTTTTGCTGACAAATACTACTTACCTGGTAACTCTGCACGCATATCAGATCGGAACATTTCCCCGGTGAAATGTCGGCTGCGCAACTTGTAATTATTCCCTCGTAAATCTCATTACAACAGTCAATACAGTGACTAGTGAGCAGGAAGGGCCGCTACACGTCTCAATTCTCGCAAACTCTCACTCTTGCCTGTGGAGAAACCGGGGGTTTGCGATAACTTGGTGACTTCACAAAGATCATAACTTTGTGAACAATTCGAACCTTGTAAAATTTTTCTATACAGTCAATCAATTTATTCGGTTACCGATATTTAATAACCAATCGGAGGAACTGGTACTGCAGCTCCCATGCCATTTGCCAGCTGTTTTTATGGACCTTACGCTCCCTCTCCCTAAGCCTCTTGAGTTCGTCGCCTCTTCTAGTGGAGCACGGAGCGCGACGGATGGACTTACAACTGGGACTTGTTGGTGTTGGGGCCGGAGTTGGCCATGCTGAGCACCCCTCGCCCAGTGTGGGACAGGTTGGGCCGGAACTCGTCCTTGAACGGCTTCCCCCAGTACGACTCTCCGCCTGCCATCAGAGAGGGACAGACTTACAATCGGAGGACAGACGCCACCTCCTGAACAACGCACATTTCCGCCCGGCAGGTTCACCTCTCTCAAAGAGCTCCTAACTTGCAAGTTCACGTTTATTTTTATAAAATACTCCACGCACAATGGTTTTCGGCCCTCTGACTCCTGAACATGCAAAATAGTAGAAGGTTTCAAAGTAATCCTGGGAAAATGGAAAAATATCCACTACTAACACCTCCATTAGTTAGTGTGGACCACATCTGTAATGGTCTCCTTGGAAAAACTGATGGATTCAGTTTGAATCTTTAAGAACTGATTAAATCAATTCAAAATTCAAATGCAAAAGTGCTGATATCACCCCTGTAATTAACCAATAAAGATGGAGGTTCCCCTAGTAGTGTCACACAGCAGCGCTGCAGGCCTAATTTTAGCATATACCTGTATGAGTACTCTCTGCTTGCCACACATCACCTGCTAGGGCATGACAGATGCTTGCATGCAGTCAATGAGAGCTG